GGGCCCCTCTTGCAGGTCCTGGTGGGGCTGCTGCTGGTGGCTGCTGCCCAGGGCAGGGCGATGGAGCCAGGTACGGCTGCGGGGGGGTGAAACGGGGCTTGCAGGCGGTGGGGTGGGGGTCCTGCTTTCTGAATGCTTTCTCCTATCCCCAGCTGGGCAGCGAGCCCCTGGGGCTGGGGGTGCCGGGTGCTCGCCCTGCGCTTGCAGCCCCACAGCTCTGACTGTGGAGCTGGGCTGGCGGGAGCTGGGGGCACCCGTCCAGCTGGGGCATGGCACGGGGGCCAGTGTCTCCATCACCGGGCAAGGTGGTGTGGGGGCTGAAGGAGCAGGGTGGCTCCAGACTGGCTGTCCCTGTGCTACGGGGGCTCAGCTTGCTCGGTGGACGTGCGCGGCAGAGCGGGATGGCATGAACGCTGTGGGCTGTGGCAGTTGTGTGTGGCTCAGGCGAGTGCAAATGCCTTAGAGGTGCGGGCGGTCCGTGCCTCTCTGTGGTGGGTACAGGAGAAGCACATGTCCCAGGGGAGCAGAGGCCCAGCTACCCCACATCCCCCCTGGTGATGGCCATGTGTGTGTCCCCAGGCCCCCACACACAGGCAGGCAGGCTGTGGTGCATATTGCTGAGCTGGTGGTTGGGTTGTTTCTGCCCTCCATGTGCACACGCCTGCTGCTGCCGGCCATCGGTAGGCAGGGCACTGCTGCCCAGCCCAGGCATCACCAGGGCCAGCCAGGGCTGGGGGTCCCAGCCACGCTTGGGGCATGTGGAGGTCTGACGGTGGGTGGCCGGTAGGGTTTGGTGCCCTTGTTCGGTGCTGTGTTCAGTGAGGCAGGACAGGCTCAGGCACCCTGCGCCGCTGAGAGTGGCCCGTGCAGAAGGACGGTGGCATGTGTGGCCTTGGACAGGGACACGCCACTGGGGAAGCTGCGTCCTTGCGCCCCAGGGCAGAGTCCAGCCCTCACCCGCCTCCAGGGTAGCAGAGCCAGGCACCAGGACGTGCCATACCGTGTGCTCTCCGCACTGGGGTGGGCATGTGGCGGGGTCCTGCTGTCGCCGCTGAGAGTGGCCCGTGCAGAAGGACGGTGGCATGTGTGGCCTTGGACAGGGACACGCCACTGGGGAAGCTGCGTCCTTGCGCCCCAGGGCAGAGTCCAGCCCTCACCCGCCTCCAGGGTAGCAGAGCCAGGCACCAGGACGTGCCATACCGTGTGCTCTCCGCACTGGGGTGGGCATGTGGCGGGGTCCTGCTGTCGGGGAGGGGTGAGCGCAGGGCCAGGCACTTACAGCATCTCTCCAGAGCTGTTTGAGAGCCCGCTGCTGGAGTCAGAAGAGGAACATCTCCTGCTGGACCCGGGCAACGCATTGAAGCTGTACTGTGATGCCAACCAGAGTGGTGCCAGTGTGGTCTGGTACAAGGAGTCCCGGCCGCTCGTCCCGGGGGGTCGTATCCGTCTCCGGCAGAGCCTGCTGGAGATCTCGGAGGTTGCCTACGAGGACTCAGGGCTCTACGTGTGCCGGGCACGGGGAACTGGGGAGATCCTGCGCAACTTCACCATCTCCGTCGTGGGTAGGAGCCCCAGCAGCGCCCAGCTCCCCCCTGGGGCAGCAAGGCAGCCGCTGCCTGCCTGGCCCTGCAGGCAGGGATGTCCCTCTCAACCCCAGCCCTGCAGGCAGGGATGTTCCTCTCAACCCATCTTCCCTTACAGACTCACTGGCGTCAGGTGATGACGACGAAGACAGTGATGGGGACGGTCCCCACAGAGACCGAAATGAGCCTGTCTACGTGCACAGAGGTCAGTGCTGCCTCGGACAGGAAAGGGCAGCTGGGGCAGGCCCAGGAGTGTGGGGCCCTGCCTGCCCCCAGATGAGGCCGTTCGGGGCAGGGCCTCACATGGGGCACTGCTACCTCCTGCTCACAGCACGAGCGGCTGGGAGCAGCTCCAGCAGCCTCCATGCTGCCCCTTGGCCCCCTCCCACTGTACGTCCCGTGTCTCCCCAGCTCCTTACTGGACTCACCCACACCGGATGGACAAGAAGCTGTATGCGGTCCCTGCAGGGAACACGGTGAAGTTTCGCTGTCCGGCCTCGGGCAGCCCCAGCCCCAGCATTCGCTGGTTCAAGAATGGGCGCGAGTTCCGGGGGGAGCACCGCATCGGGGGCATCCGGGTAAGGGCCAGGGCTCCCCGCCGCAGCCTCCCCTCCTGGGGCCTGGCCCCCTCATCACACCTCGCCGCCTTACCTCCCCCCTCTGCAGCTCCGGCACCAGCACTGGAGCCTGGTGATGGAGAGCGTGGTGCCCTCTGACCGTGGCAACTACACCTGCCTGGTGGAGAACAGGTTTGGCAGCATCCGCTACAGCTACCTCCTGGATGTGCTGGGTGAGGGCTCCTTGGCGCGGCGCTGGTCCTGGCTCCCCGCTCCCCCTGCGCCTGGCAGAGGGCTCGGGGTCACCGGGAAGGGGGCAGAGGAGCCTCTGCTTGTGTGGTCTCTGCTGGCGCAGCCCACATGTCCCTCGCACCCAAGGGGCGTGGGGATGGAGGCCAGGCTTGGGTTGCACTGGTCTGCTGTAGGGCTGGGGAAGGGCTCTCCATGGGTTCGCAGCGGGCAGAGGGAGGCAGAAAGGAGCCCCTGCTCTGGGCCACCGTGTTGGTGACACCGCTCTGCTTTCCTCTGTGCAGAGAGGTCCCCGCACAGGCCCATCTTGCAGGCGGGGCTGCCCGCCAACACCACGGCCCTGGTGGGCAGCGATGTGGAGTTCTTCTGCAAGGTCTACAGCGATGCCCAGCCCCACATCCAGTGGCTGAAGCACATCGAGGTGAACGGCAGCAGCTATGGTCCCGACGGGGTCCCCTACGTGCAAGTGCTCAAGGTAACAAAGGCTGGAAGCACCCGGGTCCCAGACGCCCACCGCAAAGTGGTGATGGGGGGTGCACAGGGCCTCCCAAGGAGGAGGAGGGATGCTGACCATCCATCCCTCTCCCTGGCAGACTGCAGACATCAACAGCTCCGAGGTGGAGGTGCTATACCTGCGCAACGTCTCTATGGAGGATGCTGGCGAGTACACCTGCCTGGCAGGGAACTCCATCGGCCTCTCCTACCAGTCTGCCTGGCTCACCGTGCTGCCAGGTAGGGCTGGGGGTCCTGGGGTGGGAGCTGGGACCCCCGGCACGCAGGGACCATGGCTCAGGCCAACTTGTTTGCTCCCTCCAGAAGAGGAGCTGGTGCGGGAAGCCGAAGCCCCCGAGGCCAAGTACACGGACATCATCATCTACACCTGGCTACATGGGGCTGTGGCCA